GTTTATATTAAGCTTTCAAATAAACCTTTAGATGTTCACCTTCCACAAATAACAAAAAATACAAAAGTGACTTTGAACTCTTGGACTACTGTACAAAATGTGGTGTACACAGTCAATATAGCCTATCAACGCCAGAGGACAACCAGTCTTAACTATCCGTCGTTAGCCTTGCTCCAAGGCTCTATAGTGCATGTAATTCTACCTTTCCAACAGGCAAATCTAGATAAACGTTCACTTCATCTAAGGATTCCAGTCTTTAATAGTGACAGCATGCATGTTCTGATTATTAATATTATTCTAAAAGACTATTACAATGCGAAAGCTAATTACCATTGTATAAGAGACTTGTGCAAGTGTAATCTCTCGTATTAGGCGAAACAAAGACAAGGCGATGAAAGCCGCCCGGGTAAATCATGCCCCTGCTGAAGCAGTTTAAAATAATTTTGTTATTGATATCAAGGCCAGAAAACAACCAGTCTCCACTATCCTTCCTTAGCCTTGCTCCAAGGCAGTGTACTGCGTGCAATTCTACCTTTTACTAGTCAAGTCTAGATACGTGGACAATGCATCTAAGGATGCCAGTCCTAAATAGTACAGCATGTTCTGATTATTTATTGTATTCTTAAAGATTACTGTCAAAGCTATTAGTTACTGTCTTGGAGACTTGTACAGGTCAATCCCTCGTAAAATGCGAAACAAAGACAAGGCGATGAAAGTTGCCCGGGTAAGTCCTGTCCCTGTCCCTTAAGTATGTCTCGTTAAGTTCTGCTAATGGTGAAGTCCCAACATCATGTTCAGATGGTATAAATGCCGCAATACCAAAGCCTGTGACTTATGAACTAGGGTATCATTTTGGCATAAATTGGTACTTGGTGACGTATTTAAAATATTCCTGCATTTAATTTCCTTTGAATTACATTATTTCGCCAAGTATCACACACATTAAAGAAGGAATAACGGTTTTCTATATTCATATACATAAGTAAAACAATGTATCACAAGCAACAATGTACGAGTACATGACAACTGATTGTAAAGGTATCAAAATCAATTTTCACACACAGCATTGTAGTTAGTTAGATAGATAGACTGATAGATAGACTGATAGATAGATGGATGGATGGATGGATGGATGGATGGATGGATGGATGGATGGATGGATGGATGGATGGATGGATGGATGGATGGATGGATGGATGGATGGATGGATGGATGGATGGAGGGAGGGAGGGAGGGAGGGAGGGAGGGAGTTGTCCACTTGATAAGGGTTCTATCTTCAGCTTTATATTCGACACCCTGTCGGCAGGAAGTGGCCTTGCCTCTATAATGAAGAGGAACAAACTCGGTAATTCAATCTAGCTTCCACAGACCAGTGGTTGATAGAGTGAATGAGTAAGTGAGTGAGCTGTCCACTTGTTTGGGGTTCTATCTTCAGAAAGATTTATGATTCATCCACGACGCCCTGTCAGATATCACATGTTACTTATTACAGGAAACGCAAAGGCACAGAGAGCAATGAGCCTGTTTGCGGTTCAAACACAGAATGTACGAAATATGGACAAAATGGCCGAAAATGTATCTTTACAGATGGTTTGGAGAGTGCACACCTGTTGGTAAACAGCATCCAAACTTGAGAAACATGTACTGGATCCATCCAACCAGATATGGCACAAATATCAGATGTATTCATGCATTTCAGCAAACGCTAAGACACCCCCCAACAGGGTGCCTGTCTGGGGTTCAAAAACAGAATGGACGAAGTGCTGACAAAATGTCCGAAACTGTCTTTTACAGATGGTTTGGAAAGTGCAGACCCCTTGTTATAGAGCATCCAAACTTGAGAAACGTGTGCTGGTACCATCCAACCAGATGTGGCACAAATGCCATGTGCTGAAGTTAAGAAACTACATTTCGTTGTATATCTTACATTTACTTGTTTTTTACGCTTAAGTGTAACAGCAGAACTCTCTACATTACACATACAAGTAAATGCAGTGAAATAGAACCACTGAATTTGAATTTCAGATAGGGTCATCTATTTATTTTAATCACCCGTGAAGGTCCGGGTTAGAATTGATCTTCAGCAACCCATGCTTGTCGTAAGAGGCGACTAACGGGATCAGGTGGTCAGGCTCGCTGACTGGGTTGATACGTCATCGTATCCCAATAGTGTAGATCGATGTTCATGATGTTGATCCCTGCATTGTCTGGTCGGACTCGATTATTTACAGACCGCCGCCATATAGCTGGAATCTTGCTGAGTGCGGCGTAAAACTAAACTCACTCACTCTCTCACTCACTCACTCATTCACTATCTATTATGATTTGTCAGAATAACAAAAGTATTATCGCCACACATAAATGACTCAGTATGAAGCCAAGCAGAGTTATCCCCCGTCCTTTGTGCTTCATACACCTCACTCTCTTCTTTTGAGAACTTGGTGAAAACTCGGTTTCTGTCACCTAGTTTATACATTGGATTAATTTAATTATAACCCATAAGTTTTACCACTGCAAAAAACATTGGAACAAATATGTAAAATAGGTGTAAAAATTGAGAAGACTCCAAGGCCAAGTTGCTGGGTAGTACTTTCAGAACACCCTGTCGGGACGAAGTGACTTTGTATCTACATAAAAAGTGACCAATTAACGGAACTCTATAATAAAATCCATCCTCGACAAACCAGTTGTTGATATTGTGAGTAAGTGAGTTTGTGGCTTGTGCACTTTACAACGGTTGTATCCTCAGTTAAACCTACGTATTATATATGATACTCGCTTGTCAATAAGTGGAATAATATCTATGCAAAAAGACAACCCCCCCAAAAAAACCAACAAAAAACTAGTGGTTGATAGAGTGAGTAATCCCGTTGAGCATCCAACGTTAATATGTGCTGGTACCATCCAACTGGAATTACAGATGTCTATATAAAACCATACCCTGTTGTTGTCAGTAAGTCGCCTCATAGTAACAATATCAGTGTGTTCTGTCACAAACTTTATCCTTGACAGACAAGTGGTCACTAGATGAGTATGTGAGTGAAAGACCGAGCCCGTTGTCAAAAAGCAATCAAAACTGAGACACATTATCTGATACCGTCCAACCAGATATGGCACAATATCACATGAATTACAGTTAACTCTATGAGGGCGACAAGAAGTGGGTTGTTTGGGGTTCAAACAAACTTGTGGAACATGTACTGGTACCATCCAACAAGATGTGGCACAAATATCAGATGTATTTATGCATTACAGCTAACGCTAACCCACAACAGGGTGCCTGTCTGGGGTCCAAACACAGAATGGACGAAGTGATGACAAAATGGCCGAAAAGGTCTCTTTACAGATGACTTGGAGACTACGGACCCGTTGTTATGGAGCATCCAAACTTGTATTCATGCATTAAAGCAAACGCTAATCCCCTTCAATATTCACTTTAAACTTAAGCAAATCAATTTCGTTTTGTGTTTAAATTTAAATATCGGATGTTTATTTATTCTTAACACTTAAGTATACCAGTACGCTCTAAATTTCCCAATACAAGCAAGAGTACACATTCATGTAAATACAGTGAAATGCACTAACTGAATTTAAAGTCTCAGATAGAATCATCTATTTATTGCTTATTATTTTCATTTGTCAGAAGAACAAAAAGTATTAGCGCCTCACATAAATGGCTCAGTTTGAAGCCAAGCGGAGTTATCGCCCTTTCTTTGTGCTTGTACATACACGTCGCTTTGAGAACTTTGTAAAAACTCGGTTTCTGTCACGTAGTCAATTGATTTATCTCCAACAAAGTGCAATGATATCGGTAATTAAATCCAGCTTCGACAAACCAGTGTCAGTGAGTGAGTTGTACACTTCAGTAATGTTGAAATGTTATCTATGGTCTTCTGTTGTCTGTAAGTAGCTTTGTATCGCCATCAATGTGCAATAATATCGGCTTTGACAAACCAGTCTTGGACAGAGTGAGTGAGTGAGTGAGTGAGTGAGTGAGTGAGTGAGTGAGTGAGTGAGGGAGGGAGGGAGGGAGGGAGGGAGGGAGCGAGCGAGCGAGCTTACCGACCACAGCATCCTCTGTCACTGTTAATTCAATTTGTGGGAAAATTGCTAGTACGCTTCATTTTTGTTGAAAGAAGCGTTAGAAAAATGTGCTAAAAACACTGTTCATTGTCTCTGTGCAGACCCGGGAATGAGCGGAAACACAAATAGTTCACACTGTGAGTGATAGAATGACAAACCAAGGGTTCAAAGTGTGACTAAGCATACAGTAAACGATGCCGCGAATGGCGAACTCTTCATGTGTCCAAAAATGGCGAGATTTACCATGTACATAATTCTTACCGGTCATTTCAGCAATTGTACTTTACCTAAAATACAATATGTTAGGTCAGGAAGTGGGGAAAGTGTTTGTCATTCTGGCATCCAGGGTTAACAAATATGAGATGTTTTGGGTGATGATTGTCATGTGTTTGATTTTGTATATTGTGTGTTTTGTCACTACAGAAAGGGTACATTTCCCTGTGGCACCAAAACGGTTAAATCTCAGTAGTAATCAGCTACAGATGTCTATCCTTCCCTTGTTAAACGATACCCAACACATGGTATTTGACAAATACTGTTTGTGCTGTATGGCACGATGCCAGCATTGCGCCGCTCTTTGTCATTTATCTGGCTTAGAAGACGGCCGGCACCTCAGTGTATACCTGTGACGTCACCAGCAGTGTGACGTCACTGTCACTGTACAAATGGCGCCATATCAGCTGGGGTGAACCTCACCTCAGCCTGAGGTCACAGAGTGCAGCGACATGTAAACAAACAGTTTGTTGTTGTCTGTTTCACAATTCGCGATATTCTCAGAACAAAATTAACACAGAATTATGTTAAAACGGGCGACGTTTACGTACAATCACTCACCGTTCATGTTTACACTCACTTCACAATTTTCTTACCTGATCCTGCGAGGTTCCAAACACAACAAATGACAAAATGTCTGAAAATACTTTCAACAAGTTTTATTTATATTCACAAAGTAAAAAGGAAATCACGTGAATCGTGACACAAGACAACGTGGACGGCACACACCTCGTCAGTGTCAGTAACGACATGTGCACCGTCACTGTCCACACCAACACCGACTTCAGTGTCCACCACGTGACACCAGGAACTCCACCACTCGCTGATGTCTCGCGTAGTAGACCGCTGTGTGCCCGATGTTGGTCCTGGCGTTGATGTCCAACACGTTCAGGGACACGATCAGCTTCACGATCTCCAGGTCTCCACCCAGACAGGCCAAGTGAAGGACGTTGTAACCGCCCCTGTCCACCAGCGACACATCAGCCCCTCTACCCACCAGGAACTCCACCACATCTCTGTGTCCCCCCCATGCTGCCCTCATCACCGGTGTCTGGCTGTAGTCTCCTCTCGTGTTGATGTCCACGTGACCCGCTGCCAGGATCCGCTTCACTCTCTCCAGGTCACCGTCCCTGCTGGCGGAGTAGAGGCGGCGGCCTGCTGGTGATGGAGTCGCTGCAACACAAAGTAAACTGTGTACATCAGACATCTTTGTCACACATCTACAATGTTTTCATCATGTGATACGTGACTCGGACATTGCTGCATCGTTTAAACAATTCCATCATGGCTGACAACAATACAACATGGCGGGAATGTCAACTTGTGGTTTCTGGAATTATGGATGGTGTTTAATACAGAACTTTCTGTTAGAACCAGAAGTTGTAGCAATAGTTGTGTACGCGTGGAGAGTGATGATGTTTGTTGAACTTTACAAGTTGATAATGTCAGTACAAATGTTGTTTGGTATTTATTAGGGGAATAAGATATAAGGCTGCCTGCTGGGTTTTCCCACCTACCGTGTGGATCAGAGTCTTGTGTGGTCACTGGCGTTGGTGGAACCGTGGTGTTCAGGCTCGGGTCAGTCAAGGCTGAAACAGGGAATATGTTGTTCACAAAACTATACAACTACTAGCTTCAGTTTTCGCCTTTCCACATATTATGTATTCAATATTATGTGTGATTTAATTCCAAATACATCTTTCATGGAAGAAGTATTAAATATATATGGTTCAATTTGATTTAGATAACTCTTCCTCGAGACCGCGTGTCTATGCAGGAAAAAAGTAACCCTTCCTAAATTTAGTTTTTACAGTTTGAAATCCTGTGATTGACAACATGAACGTCGATCGATACTACAGGTGAGACTCATCCCTCAAGTCAGATTCTCCACGGGTATATACATTAGCGTGTTAAATGGAAGAAAAATTAAGGACTGCGCTTCCTGCCTGCTGGGTTTTCTAACCTACCGTGTAGATCAGAGTCTTGTGTCGTCACTTGCGCTAGTGAAGCCGTGTTGCTCGGGCTCGGATCAGTCGAGGCTGAAACAGGGAATATGTTGTTCAGAAACTATAACACACACGTACTATAACTACTGACCTCGCTTTCCACAATGTTTAGTCTTTCAATATTATGTAGTATAAATTCCAAATACATCTGTTATAGCAGAGGTAATAAAACTCTACGTTTCGATTTGATTGAAATAACTGTTCATCGACAGCGTGTCTATGCCCGAAACAAAGGGCACTTTCTAAATTCATTTTTACAGTTTGAATCTGAAAATGTAATAAGCCGTACACTGACTGTGTGTTAACAGCTGAGATGCTCCTCTTTGTTCAAATGTAGTAAATGAATACATAGTGAATGAATACAAATGTAGATTGTTATTTTGTTTTAAAATGTAAATATGAACGGTGTAACTATCTGTTCGCCCTCAGGGTTAGGGTTAAGTTGGGGGCGAGCATATTCTACGGGACCGTATATATAAACATACATGAGTATTCACATCATCACACTGAAAGAAAAAGTAGATAAACAACAAAAACATCTGCACTTATTCCTATTCCTCTTTATGGAATGACTACCTTTTAAGTTTGAATTTATTAACCGTAGCTGGAATTCAAAGATACCTTTCCTTCACATATGGATACAAAATGCATGAAATAGTTACTACATAGTAAAACAACATCAAGCGACCACTTGACTTGATGTTTGTGCAACACAGTTGTAATACAGCGTCAGGCAAACAGTCTGTGAAGCACTCACAAAATGTCAGAATACCGAGCGATGCCGGCAGTGCAATTCTCACACAACAACAATACATATTACTGTCTGATGAGGAAACTGTAGCTGACACAACCGTACAGCACTTGTTGTTGGAAGCAATGTGCTTTGATAAACAACAAGGGTACAAACACGTGGCAGCGTGTGGTGGTCAAGATCGAAATGTCGGTTGCACGAGAGATTAACAATCCGTCTGTTTCAACATTAGAAATAACGAGAATAAAGCATATTTGCACTTCCATAATCTACATTCCGTTGCATTTTTTTTAAATGTTGCAGAAATGCATATGTTCCACTTAAAGGTTTCAGTGTTAAAAGAGTAAATCTACATGTCTTCTTTGTTAAACACCTTAAACTGATAGAACCGCGCGCTATAGCGGGGATGTATTTCAATTCAATGCAGCTCTTCATTGCCGCAGAATAAATAGATAAACACATTTGAAATCAAATACTTGACTGGACAGATTTAAAATAATCTCGCATAAAGTCTTCCGATCCGTGAGAGTTCATGCTATCAGGTCAAAGGATAACGCTTACAAGCACATACTGTGATCAAATATAACAAGTCTATCAGGTGAAACGCCGCGTGATGTTTACCCGGACCTTCCTTCATTCCCACCGGTGACAGGCTAAACAAACGTCTGAGTGTAAACATTTGTGTGAAGCAAGCACTTATTTCCCACAACATTCATATTGCTTTACAGCAGTTGTACAATATACATTTACACTATTGCATCTAATTTGCTAAATCAGTTTAAAATCAGAAAACTGCGAACTTACCCACCAATAACGTCCTAACACGAGCGACACATCTCAGTGCTAGCTATGAAATGGCCTTGACTGGCGATACCACGACCGCAAAGCTGCCAGCTATGACGTCATTGTGACGTGTTAGGTTAGAAGCATGGCAACGTTTGGCGCTCGACTGCTTGGACTGATCAACACCTCTGCATGGAAATATTTCTATCCGATCCGTGTTTTCACTCCGGTTTTATCTAGTACTTTTTGAGTTGTGCCCCATACGGGATTTGAACTCACACCCTCAGATTCAGGCACCTAATCTCCAGCACACAAAGTCAGCCGCCTAACCAACTCAGCTACCGCGACTTCCACAAAAATGGAAGTCGGACAACTGGTAGTCTAGACTGCCGGCTTTGTGTAACCCTCTGATGAGTGTTAATTGGCACGGCTCCCACGGCCGAAAGCTATGGTTAAACAATACCATTTAGAAAGTGGTCAAATATAATATATGTTATATTTTGGATTACATTTTCTTAGTAAAGTACAAAGGGCTCAACTCAAAAAGCACTAGAATTTGTACTTTACTAAGAAAGTGTAATCCCAAATATAACATATATTATAGCATAAATATCCCCTTTCAATACACGTTAAATGTGGATAGCATTAGACGGTGTCCTCTCACTTAGCCAGATTCTGTCATTTTGAAACTGGTCTACACATAGCCAGAGTGGGATCTGGCTCACCAGGGTTAATGTTTTGATAACGCATGTCCAGATGAGTCATATAGTCTGTATCAACAAAATGCTCAATTAGTGAGATTCGTGAATTTTGTGTAGAAACACATTTAGATGGTATTATTTGAATTTCTTTACACTTTTCATATTACGTGTGCTCAGTTTGTAAGATTAGTTCAATTTATATTAAAGTGAGATACACTGATATGGTATTATTTGAATTTCTTTACATTTTACAGAGAATGTAGATAAAAATATGCTTGGTGCAAAATATGTAGTGTATTAAGAAACTTATGAGAAATGGTGGCTGAAAATGTTAACATATGATCCATGCTTCCTTGCTGTAATATTACACACACGTATGGACACCCCATATATCGAGTGCAAGTATCCACTTCTGAATACCAGCCTAATCATTGAGTGCTAGCAGGGATAATCTACAATGACAATTATATACTCTCCCTGGTGCTAGTAACCACTTCTAAATCCTAGCCTATTCACAAAGTCAACAATCGGTTCTAAAGTCTTCGTTTTGGCTGCTTGTTGAGAACCTGTTCTTAAGTCAAGCCTATTTATGTATGTTAGCATCCACTTTTTAACAGTGATAAACAGTGCCAATACCACTCAACACGTGTACGACAAGGTAACATTTTAACTGTTACACTTACAAATTCCATTCACATGTGTATTGCTGTATGAACAATGTGTTCGACGTGTTGGGCGTGATACGACGAGGCGAAATCGCCCGATGAAAGAATTAAGATCAGAGCTTAGTTCGCCATCGGACGCTACTTCCGCGGTTGCAAATCAAATCAGTGTCGGATGAATGTCGAGTCAGTCAGATTCGTGTTGTGCAACGATCAGGCGGTGTCTGACAGCTGACGTCTGACGGCAATCTGATAGTGTCCGATGATTAAAGAGTCATCGAACGCTCATGTGATTCCCATCTGCGTCCATCAACAATTCGATTCTCATCGGAGGGTAACATGACATTTAGCACCGTCCGATTGCTTTCCGTTGTGACATCGGAGGTAATCGCTCATTAACTCATTAACGCCTAGCAAGCGGTAACATGAGACGGCCAACGGACTACAAAAGGAGGGTCAGCCGACACTCACTCCGCAGATTTTTATCGGACACTACAGCACCAAGATTCTGAAGATGAGTCCAAGAAAGAACAGAAATGTTCGAGGAGAGAAGGCAAAGAAGCGACTGCAAGATGCCTTAGCGTGCAAGCTAACGTGAGACCAGGTTCACATGCCTTAGGGTGCAGGCTAACTTGAGACCAGGTCCACATGCCTTAGGGTGCAGGCTAACTGAGACCAGGTTAACATGCCTTAGGGTGCAGGCTAACTTGAGACCAGGTTCACATGCCTGAGGGTGCAGGCTAACTTGAGACCAGGTTCACATGCCTTAGGGTGCAGGCTAACGTGAGACCAGTTTCACATGCCTTAGGGTGCAGGCTAACGTGAGACCAGGTTCACATGCCTTAGGGTGCAGGCTAACTTGAGACCAGGTCCACATGCCTTAGGGTGCAGGCTAACTTGAGACCAGGTTCACATGCCTTAGGGTGCAGGCTAACGTGAGACCAGGTTCACATGCCTTAGGGTGCAGGCTAACGTGAGACCAGGTTAACATGCCTTAGGGTGCAAGCTAACGTGAGACCAGGTTCACATGCCTTAGGGTGTAAGCTAACGTGAGACCAGGTCCACATGGCTTAGGGTGCAGGCTAACTTGAGACCAGGTCCACATGGCTTAGGGTGCAGGCTAACTTGAGACCAGGTTCACATGCCTTAGGGTGCAGGCTAACTTGAGACCAGGTTCACATGCCTTAGGGTGCAGGCTAACGTGAGACCAGGTTAACATGCCTTAGGGTGCAGGCTAACTTAAGACCAGCTCTCCTGACATTGGTATCACCCCTTCGTGAGTCTGGGTTCGGCAGTAGTTCATCAAAACATTCTGGCCTAACTCCCAAGAAATTGAAGAATGCCGTTGTATCCTCCATTCTCAGTTCATTCATAAGTCTGATGAAGCACCCATGTAACATCCTTCTGTATATCAGCTTGCAGCCATGGTTGAACCCAATAACGACGTGGTCTTCCATGCCTCCTTCTCAGGACCTCAAGGGTCATTGCATCTTGTTGCATAAAAACAAAGCCCAGGGCTGCAGTGGTGCGAGGAAGTACATCCATGACTAGTACTGTCAGGAGGTGCAGGCCGCTTTTATACTCGACTGCCGATTTGGCGACATATCCCACCTGTGTCCGAGTACCCTACGAATAGTAACCAATTTGTCGGATTGATGTCGGGAGAGTGTTGGAAGTGTCAGATTAGAGTCTGAAATAAAATAAAAATCCAACCGCAGTCGGATCAGCCGTACGCCGCCGATGAATATGGCGGATGGACATCGGGCCGCTAACAGTCTTTTATCCGATTAACCCGATCAGTGATGGATCTCTATCGGATTTTACAGAAAAAGGGGACCCCCAAAAATGGGTATCGGGGTGAATTTTCATCGGAACTCATCGGAACGCTGATATGTTCGCAAAATGTGGATCAGATGGGCTTCAGATGAGGTTCCGATGATCAGTGGAATGGGGCAACCAATGCTTGTCGTAAGAGGCGAATAACGGGACCTGGTGGTTGACACATGTCATCGTATCCCAACTGCGTAGATCGATGTTCATTCTGTTGATCACTGGATTGTCTGGTTGACACTCAATTATTTACAGACCGTCGCCATAATTCTGGAATATTGCTGAGTATGGCGTAAAACTGAAGCCACTCACTCACTTAGCCTTTCAAACAGACATCAGACATATTGTGAAATAATACTGAAGAGACGTAAAATTTATTTTTCAGTATTGCCCAATTGCTGATTTGAGGTATCATATAACAAGGTATGGTGTGGGAGTTATTGCTCCTTCAGCAGAGAATCCCCTGTCTGTCGATTGACCATGTGCCCTAATTCACCTGTCGTTGGTGATGTCACTGGCAGGGAGGGATTCCTGAGATGCAAAGTACAAGTACCGGTCTTTACAGGGCTTGTGTACGCTGGGTCTGCCTGTGTCAGTTCGGAGACTGTCTGATGTCTGGTGATACAAATGGGTCCTGGGAGACCCACCCAACCAGTGCTACAGTATGCTCACTGCCCTTGCTGATATGGGACGCACCACTTATGCTACTAATATTAAAAATATTTTATTCAGATTTGGATTTGGATATGCATGGATTTCCCAAGATGTTGGAGACAAAAATATTATCAATGTTTAAGCAGAGACTATTTGACAATCTACAACAAACCTGGAGTGTACATGTTAATAACCTATCTGACTCTTACTCATATAAACAATATAAATCCCTACTGACTATTGAATACTATCTGAACTCATCACTTCCATCTCGCTTAAAAAGGATCTTATCACGCTTCAGATGCAGTAACTTTAGAATAGCTGTCAACACTGGGAGACATCAAGCTACACCATCTAAAGAAAGACTTAAGCCCTATGTTGGCATCACTTGTTAACCCAAAGTTTACATGCCTTGTAAGCCCTATGCTGGCATCACCTGTTAACCTAACGATTACATGCCTTGTAAGCCCTATGTTGACATCACCTGTTAACCCAACTATTACGTGCCTTGTAAGCCCTATGTTGACATCACCTGTTAACCTAACGTTTACATGCCTTGTAAGCCCTATGCTGGCATCACCTGTTAACCCAACGTTTACCTGCCTTGTAAGCCCTATGTTGGCATCACCTGTTAACCTAACGTTTACATGCCTTGTAAGCCCTATGTTGACATCACCTGTTATCCCAACGATTACGTGCCTTGTAAGTCCTATGTTGGCATCACCTGTTAACCTAACGTTTACATGCCTTGTAAGACCTATGCGGGCATCACCTGTTGCCCCAAAGTTAACATGCCTTGTAAGCCCTATGTTGACATCACCTGTTAACCCAACGATTACATGCCTTGTAAGACCTATGCGGGCATCACCTGTTGCCCCAAAGTTTACATGCCTTGTAAGCCCTATGCTGGCATCACCTGTTGCCCCAGCGTTTACATGCCTTGTAAGCCCTAAGCTGGCATCACCAGTTAACCCAACGTTTACGTGCCTTCTAAGCCCTATGCTGGCATCATCTGTTAACCCAACGTTTACATGCCTTGTAAGCCCCATGTTGGCATCACCTGTTATCTCAACGTTTACATGCCTTGTAAGCCCAATGCTGGCATCACCTGTTAACCCAGCGTTTACATGCGTTGTAAGCCCTATGCGGGCATCACCTGTTAACCCAGCGTTTACATGCCTTGTGAGCCCTATGCTGGCATCACCTGTTGACCCAACGTTTACATGCCTTGTAAGCCCTATGCTGGCATCACCTGTTAACCCAAAGTTTACATGCCTTGTAAGCCCTATGCGGGCATCACCTGTTAACCCAACGTTTACATGCCTTGTAAGCCCCATGTTGGCATCACCTGTAATCTCAACGTTTACATGCCTTGTAAGCCCAATGCTGGCATCACCTGTTAACCCAGCGTTTACATGCGTTGTAAGCCCTATGCGGGCATCACCTGTTAACCCAGCGTTTACATGCCTTGTGAGCCCTATGCTGGCATCACCTGTTAACCCTATGTTAACATGTTGTGCGAACCCTATGTTGACATGTGATGTGAACCCTATGTTGACATGTTTTGTGAACCCTATATTGACACGTTATGTGAACCCTATGTTGACACGTTATGTGAACCCTATGTTTGCACGTTATGTGAACCCTATGCTGACATGTTATGTGAACCCAATGTTGACACGTTATGTGAACACTATGTTGACATGTTATGTGAATCCTATGTTGACACGTTATGTGAACCCTATGCTGACATGTTATGTGAACCCTATGCTGACATGTTATGTGAACCCTATGTTGACACGTTATGTGAACCCAATGTTGATACGTTATGTGAATCCTATGTTGACATGTTATGTGAACCCTATGCTGACATGTTATGTGAACCCTATGTTGACTCGTTATGTGAACCCTATGTTGATACGTTATGTGAATCCTATGTTGACATGTTATGTGAACCCTATGCTGACATGTTATGTGAACCCTATGTTGACTCGTTATGTGAACCCTATGTTGATACGTTATGTGAATCCTATGTTGACATGTTATGTGAACCCTATGCTGACTTGTTATGTGAACCCTATGTTGACTCGTTATGTGAACCCTATGTTGATACGTTATGTGAATCCTATGTTGACATGTTATGTGAACCCTATGCTGACTTGTTATGTGAACCCTATGTTGACATGTTATGTGAACCCTATGTTGACACGTTATGTGAACCCTATGTTGACATGTGATGTGAACCCTATATTGACACGTTATGTGAACCCTATGTTGACACGTTATGTGAACCCTATGTTGACACGTTATGTGAACCCTATGTTTGCACGTTATGTGAACCCTATGCTGACATGTTATGTGAACCCTTTGTTGACACGTTATGTGAACCCAATGTTGATACGTTATGTGAATCCTATGTTGACATGTTATGTGAACCCTATGTTGACATGTTATGTGAACCCTATGTTGACATGTTATGTGAACCCTATGTTGATACGTTATATGAACCCTATGTTGACATGTTATGTGAATCCTATGCTGACATGTTATGTGAATCCTATGCTGACATGTTATGTGAACCATATGTTGACATGTTATGTGAACATTATGTTGACATGTTATGTGAACATTATGTTGACATGTTATGTGAACCATATGTTGACATGTTATGTGAACCCTATGCTGACATGTCTTGTGTGTTCAGAAATTGATTGGTCAATATGCTTTTGAGTTAGTGAATGAGTTAATATTTATCGTCACATCGGCAATAGTCCAGCCATATCTTGACGATAACAGTTTATAATTATATCAAAGGTCAATAAAGTTTAAAATTAAAAAACTTGTTGACGAAGAACAGTAAAACTTCTAGTGTATCACAGATATCCATTTAAAACTAGGAATTAAATCTAAAATATTGGAACTATAAATGGAAGTACAATATAAAAACAGGCTATAGATTGCCAACGGCCGAAGGGTAGATCACCATACTTGGGACCATAGGGACTTACAGTGCATTTGCTTCCTGCATGCACCCTAGGTGGATTTACATCATCCCCCTCGGCCGTTAGCAATTTAGACACATCTAGCCATACATTTAAAAACACACATATTCTACGATTTAAAATAGCGGAGAGTTTCAATTTACTTTGAATGTTTGTGGACTTACGTATCCTCTCAGGGGGACAATACTTTTACAGTACTATAACCCCCCTCGAGGATACAGCCACTAACAATCTGAGTTATTAATTCAAACTTCCAATCATAAAATATTTATCTACATACATCATTATCTGAACAAAACTCCTCCAGTAGTTTACCTTTAGCGTTTGTAGTTGCACCACCCCAGAGTGGATTGAGCCCATTTAAATCTCCCATGACAATACATGGTTTAGGCAGCTGGTCAAATAGAGCTTGAAGATCGGTTTTGTGAAACGTTGAAGACGGAGAGATATATACAACAGAGCATAATGTAAACGCAACATGTAACGGAATTCGCACTGCAACAGCCTGCAGATTGGTAGTTAGTGAAACAGGGCCATGGATAACGTTCTGTTTGACTAGGATGGAAGATCCTCCCGTGGCTCTGTCACCCGGAGGTGAAAAACAACATCAGTCTGTTATAAATAGGTCTCCTGCAGACAGAACGCTGATGGTGTTAAATCCTGGACTAAAAGCTGCAATTCATTGAAATTAGTCCTTAGTCCTTTGCAGTTCCACTGTATGATAACCTATCTGTTCGGAGGATTTATTGGGGGTCCACCCCGCACTTTTTAGGTGGGCGACAAGCTATGTGCCCTACAACGGACGTTTTCGGACCCGTCCATATACTCAACAGATCCATATTTGTTGTAAAGTTGAATTTTATTTTCTGACCCTTTTCGGGCTCTGCCACTGGTTTTTTTTTTAAGAGTCTGTTTACTTTTGATTTTAACGAGGCCTTGCTGAGATTTTGTTGATGACTGAGAAGATTGGTCATGATCAAGGGGTGTCTCTGATTGGATTCGAGACGTACCAGGAAGTGATGCTCCTGGCAATGGAAGCATAGCTTTCTGTCTGTACTGAGCTTTGGGCTAATTTCTTAGCTTCTGCAAATCTAATGCTTTGCGTGAATTTTATTTTGTTGATGGCCATTGCCTGTTTCCAAACGGGGCAGTCTTTAGAGTAAGATGGGCTATTCCCTGCGCAGTTAGTGCACTTTTCGACAATACTGTCACAATCTTCTGTTGTGTGTGTCTTTTCACCACAGTGAGCACACACAACAGACAATGTGCAAGTATTTACACCATGGCCAAACTTCTGACATTTGAAGCACCTTAGAGGGTTTGGAATGTATGTGTTGGTTTTAATGGTTGTGTCGTTTTTACAGAATGAGAAGCGTTTAACAAAGAGTACACCCTGATCTTTCATCTCGGAGACGATATCTAATTCCGACATATCAGCCAGCAATCGCTCACGATCTCTAACAATTCCCTTGCTCGTATTAAGGGTCATCTGAGCCGTGACGGTGACAGGAATGGCAACAAAAGTTTTGGTGTTCAATAGGTTGGTTGACTCGATCAACAGCGCACCAGAACGTAATCTTTTAATGTTCATCACATCGCCGGCAATACCTTGGACACCCTCAGACACAGCAACAGGGTTCAATATTAATGGTGTCTCAATGACAACAAAACGTGGCCAGTAATCAGTTGGTTTGGGCAGTCTGAGTTCGTTGTCAGCAGGGTCCTTGTCAAGAGGACGTTTGTTTTGTTTGGTTGGAGTTTCATAAGCCATGGTTATTTGTTAGATTTCATCATCTGAGCTCCCCACCCACCACGCAGTATCACAAGGACAATGCTAAAAACAAGTGGATCTCCGACTTGCAGCACCAGGGATACCAGGATGATATACTCCAGCAGAAAAATTAAAGAATAAATTATTCTACTAGATTGGCCCGTGAGCCACCGCCTTCTGGGCATAGAACTCTAGGCATATTTAACAATTGTTGAAATTTGGAACCAATACATGTACGGTGAAATAATTTTGCCAATACCCAAAACAGGATCATTTACAAAAATCAGATTTGTGCAGTATCAAATACAATGCACAGGGCATGACATGACCAGCCGATTGGTTGAACCAGTCCCATTCAACCACCCGTCTAGGTGAAGTAAGGGGCAAAGTGACGTGTTGGGCAAAGAAGCGCTATTCCTGGAACCAGTGCCCTCAACCACCAGACTCCCGCCCTCCACCGACACAGGGGCGCAACCCACGGCAAACGGGTTGGTGGACCAAATATACCCCCGGGTCCACAACCGGGTGTTGAAGAGCGCTTAGCGTTACCCAGCACCTACCACGAGGAGGTGGCTCTTCACGGTTGCCAATAAGCATTTGAAATAAGGGTAGTTTAACAGTGCCATATACGGAAATGAAAGGTTTCCACTAAAAAACACAGAAAGTTTACCTCCGACATATCGATTCAAAGCAGAAGACACATGCTTAGGTACGTATGCAGTATGACTGTAAACACTGAGTAAATTATAACGAAATGATAATGTTATTCTCCTATCTTTCGGTTGTAATGTCAAGATAGAACGTTAATTAAGCGACTAATCTCTGCTGAAACTCTCACCTGCTGTGGTTCCAGGATACGTCGTTGTCCTTTGATCACACAGGTCAGCTGCCGTCTGATCCAGCCGTAGCTGTAGTGAACCGAGGTCTTTGGTAAACATGCGACGTAGTTTTCGTAGACTCTTTCTGTAAAGTGTCTCTTTCCTGTTGTACACGTCTTAATTCCCTTGTGTTATAGTGTTCAATCGTGCTTTTATGTTTTGTGCATTGTCTTTTACACTGTCAACTTCAGCGGACACCAGTCCCACCTGTCTCGTCAAGGCATTCATATTGGCAATAATATCAACAGTTTTCAATTTCCATGTTCCGAGGTCCTCTTCCACCACTGCCACTCGTCCAGTCAAGGTTGGAGCAGCCTGTACGTCTCTGATACCAAATACCACAAGACTGAAGAACATTACAGTTAATACCTCCATCGTGCAAGTGTGCAGAACGCAGCTAGGAAGACGACTGCCTCGCCGCCGGGTAAACGGCTTTAATATATAGCCCGACTCAAGTGTTTGGCAGAATGCCAGCTCCTCGTGGAAACACCAGTAGTGTACGTACACGTGACATCATAACACCCAACATGGCGGATACCTACCTGAGGATATGAGATGGATATCCAGTGCCATGTACCCAGCAAACACTTCGGTGTATTGTCACTTTTAAAGTAACATCAAATATATGGTAACACGTGTTATAGTTGGGATACACCTTCTCGGTGATGTACAGATTCTAGTACTTTTGTTGGATTGAGTCCACAGAAGGCTACACTAAGTGTATCGATAGCTTTCGGTCGTGACAATTTCCACTTATCAGAGGGGTGCACAAAGTCCGTGGTCTAGAGTACAGGTTGTACGGCTTTCATTGTTATGGAGGCCGCAGTGGCTGAATAGGTTAGACGGCTGACTTTGTGTGCTGGCGATTAGGTGCCTGGCTCTGAGAGTGTGGGTTCCAATGCCGGATGAGACTCAACCCAATAAAATAGATATTGGTGCATGTACCTGTAGGTGAACAACCAAAAGAAACACCTCCAAGGTTTATTGTATAATACCAGGGATAATCTTATATAGTCTCCCTGATAATACATACCAGTGTCCTTTATGTATTACTGTCCAGGATATACATTGTATGCATTACATTACAGGGGCTGTAGGGTAGCCTAATGGTTAAAGCTTCTACTCGTCACGCTGAAGGTTCTATTCCCAACATGGGTACAATGTTTGAAGCCCATTACATTACAGGGGCTGTAGGGTAGCCTAATGGTTAAAGCTTCTACTCGTCACGCTGAAGGTTCGATTCCCAACATGGGTACAATGTTTGAAGCCCATTACATTACAGGGGCTGTAGGGTAGCCTAATGGTTAAAGCTTCTACTCGTCACGCTGAAGGTTCTATTCCCAACATGGACACAATGTTTGAAGCCCATTACATTACAGGGGCTGTAGGGTAGCCTAATGGTTAAAGCTTCTACTCGTCACGCTGAAGGTTCGATTCCCCACATGGGTACAATGTTTGAAGCCCATTTCTGGCGTCCCCTGACGTGATATTGATGGGATATTGCTGAAGGCGGCGTTAAACCATATTCACTCACTCATTCACATAAAAGTATACATGCCACGCATTACTTTAAAGGATCTATCGTGTATCTTCAGTTAGATTACACATGTTGCGTATCAAATTACTGAGGTATTGCCTGGTGTCTATTACATCTTTAATATATATGTAAAGTGCAGACAGACATTGTTCAGGTATCAGGTCCTCTTCAATAGTAAAAAACAATGTTTAAGCAAAGCAGCGGCTTGCTTACAGACAATGTTCACAAAGCACCATGGGTGTGTTGCCTCCTGGAATCAAAATACAGCATCATCTCTGGAGACATTATCTACAGCATGGAAATACTAGAACCGGAACCATTGTCGACGTCGGAATATTAACAACACAGCCGCACTGGCGGTTGACGGAACACAACATCTGGCACCTACATCCAGAGATACGAGCGATGTTGCGTCCACGTTACCTCAGGCAAAACCCAGCTTGGTGAGACAGTACCTCAGTTCAGAAGACAGAGACTGGGACAGTATATTTCAGACTCATATTAATCTTCTTGTTGCAATTATCAGCTTATATTTACATTCATGAGACATATTTGGGGATGAAACCATCATAACACAAGTAATGCAAATAACAAAACTGGGGGGCACAGACGTGGCGTCATGAAACACCAGTGAAATACCATTAACGGTCTTCAATACAAGCAACAAAACATCCACATCCACAAGATATTTCTGCCAAGAGCAGGGTCGACTGCATGAGTCAACTGTATCATGAACGCGTATTTAGGAATCACTATCAAACCGTGTTCACGAGAGATTGAATGCATCCTATCCCATCGGTGGCATTCGTCATAAACACAGGCAGGGGCAAGTCAGTTGTCCAGCTGTGAAGAGATCGGGAAGTCAAAATAGGAGATTTACAGCTGACACCATGTTTGTCACTGGTGCGTCAGTTTTGGGCATGTCTTCCACTGGTCTACTATGGAACATATTCGGATATGCCCGAGTATCTCTGAAATTTAAAATGAAAAACGCTGGAGCTGTTGGGATAGTTTTACTCTGATAACTCTTGGCTGGGGAGACAGATGGGTTTTACCAGACTGGCATCAGAATGCGTGTATGACGTAGCTCTTGTCAGACTGCCAAGACATTAGAGTGAAGGCGGTAAGAATAGTAACGCGGTATGTACACTTTATACAATTTATGCATGTTTAGAAATTTCAGATCTGTAATCGAACACTAAACTATATAATACCACTAATAATTATTGCATATGTGTATATTAGATCTACACAGGTTTCACTTCAAACTACGCCGTACTATTCCCGCGTTTCCGTTATGTAAAGCTACAGTTACAGGGGGGCAAGGGAAGTTTAACTTGACTTCTGACTTTTGGCATCAGCATTCGTTTGGATTGCATTTCTTTATTCGATTTTTTAAGAATTATCTATCGAATCCTGGCTACTCATATCCTGAGTAAGTGTCAAAAGTCTATCCCAGATAGATTGTGATCACGTGAAGCTTGCAAGGGGTATTCGATACAGAGTTCATCATGGTATCTCTTCATTGGGTCTAGTCCAGCTTAATTTAGTGTTAACTGTGCTGATCTTTAATCTAGTAAATCATTAGTGTATCCATCGCTGCATTGGAAGTATTTTTCTCATCCATCCTTTGTCAGCCTTATGTTATCTGCCCATTGAACCAGAATACAATCAGTATATGCTATCTTAATGTCGCCGTACTTTCCCATTCCTTCTTACAAGTGCTAATATGTCAGGACAGAAAATAAATATGAAAACAGGGTTTGACAAACGACACATTGTGTTTGTAATGTGGAACAAGGAGCTTGGAAACATTTCCTTGCAGACTTGATCGTATATATCTGAATCAAGCACAAAGGGCAGATATCTCTACTAGCATCAAGAGCCTTATAACATCTAAGTTCGGGAATCTGATAACGATTCCATGTATTCAATCATACCATTAATTGATCGGGTTTTTACTGTCTGGGGACAAAAGAACCTTTGTGATCCCTCATACACCTGTATGGCGTCTCTGCTTATGTCCTGTAATCCCTGCTGATATTCTACAGCCACTACCATTGTGTTTTCCTTTGTGATCCCTCATACACCTGTATGGTGTCTCTGCTTATGTCCTGTAATCCTGCTGATATTCTACAGCCACTACCATTGTGTTTCCTTTGTGATCCCTCTACACCTGTATGGTGTCTCTGCTTATGTCCTGTAGTCCTGCTGATATTCTACAGCCACTACCATTGTGTTTCCTTTGTGATCCTCCTTACACCTGTATGGCGTCTCTGCTTATGTCCTGTAATCCTGCTGATATTCTACAGCCACTACCATTGTGTTTCCTTTGTGATCCCTCATACACCTATTATGGTGTCTCTGCTTATGTCCTGTAATCCAAGCTGATATTCTACAGCCACTACCATTGTCTCTTCCCTTTGTAGAAATGTGTGAAGTAGGTACTAATAAAAATACATTTGTTAATTATTCCAAATGTTATGGTGTTTGTTGGTTTTCCCGCCGAATTGTTTCACGGACGGATTTCCAGGTAAATTATAATTCAATCCATAACGAATCCAACATGTAACAAAGAATTGCATACATAAGCAGTACTCTACTCCAGCAACATGCAACACCAGAATCATTGATTTGTAAAAGTGTCAATGTAAGATGCCACTTGCGTCGTTTTGTGAGACAAGAGAAGTACATACACTTAAAGCTGAGACTGAACAGAGGCGATACCTCCAAGATTTAGGTTCAGATGTTAAGTAATTTGTTTATAATACAGCTGGGCTTCATTGTAAACAGCATACTCTTTAAAGGATATGTTGACCTGACCTGGTTGCATGTGAAAAGGCAATTGACCTGATCAGTGAAACGACGGTAAGGTAGAACTGACATGGCTTCGTGCGTAGTTGATTTGATCAGTGAACGTCAGTATACAACTGACATGGTTGTGTGGCAGTTGACCTGATCAGTGAACGCGGTAAGTTAGGAACTGACATGGTTGTGTGTAGGTAGTTGATTTTGATCGGTGAACGTCAGTATGGTGCAACTTTGACATGTGGTTGTTGTGTGAGCAGTTGGGTACGACTCGGTGAACGTTGGTAAGGTGGGAGCTGACATGGTTGTGTGTGGTGGTGGTTTGATCAGTGAACGTCCGGTATGGTGCAACTGACATGGTTGTGTGGGCAGTTGACCTGATCGGTGAACGTTCGGTGTAGTGGGGCAGTTTGATGATGACGCATGCGGGCGGTTGACTTGATCGGTGAACCTGGTCAACTGGTATGGTTGTGATGTGCATGTGGACTGTTGACCTGATCGGGGCGATGGGTTTATTTTAACCGACAGACTGTTGATACGATCGGGAAGGTGGGTATGGTCGGCTGACGATGGGCTGTTGACCTGATCGAATTGGGTGGTGATGATTAGGGCTGACGGTTCGATGATGGGCTGTTGATCGGTGAACATGATTCGGCACTGACATGGTCGATGATGACGTAGCAGGCAGTTGACCTCATCGATGAACGTGGATATGATCCAGCGTGTAGTAGCCAGATTGTTGACCTGATCGGGAATTTGGATTGTGATCGGCGGCATGGTTGATGATAATGCATGTAGACTGTTGACCTCATCGATGAACGTGGATATGATCCCAACTGACGGATTTGATGGGCTGTTGACCTGATCGGTGAACGTGTATGGATCGGCTGACGTGGGCAATTTGGACCGCTACTGATCGATCGGCATCTACACAACCATCGACCAGATCCTCTCATTCGCATCAATATTACCTGTTTCCATCAGCCAGATCATATCACCTGATCGATCAACTCATCCCCACAACATCGATATCGACTAACAATCAACTAATGTCGACCGAACCATACGATTCAT